TATGTAGGTATAATAACTGTATGAAATGTAAGGTATTAACTTAATTTTTCGAGCGCAGCGAGGAAATTTATTTTAAGTTTTTTATACTTTCATTAATATTCATAAAATACACCAGGGGCGCAAAATAATTTTGCCCCCCATATGTGAACCCTTAATGCGCCCCTGCAGATTTAACTAATTTAATATACAACAAGGTCCATAAAATTAGTCAAATATGAAATAATTTTTATAAAGCATGCTAATACTCATTTTACAAATATAATATAAGGACCATAAAGTTAGTCAAAAAATAAATAATATGAAAAAATATTTTCTAATAGGTACATAAAAATATAATACAAGACATTTCGATCTATAAAGTCAGTCCAATAATAAATAATAATAAATAATTTTTATAAATAATGCCAATACTCATTTTACAAATATAAATAAATATATAAATATTATATAAATATAAATAATTTTTTTCTAATATAATAATTTTTTTTTATTAAATATCATGATACAGATTGTACATATTATTCAAATCGGGTTTTTTCCCCTTCTTCATATTTTTTAATTTCATTAAGAATAAAATGTTGTCGAACTAAAGTTCCTTTTCTTGTTTTTATTGTTCCTATACTTTTAATCTTAATATAAACTTCTGATTGAAGTTGCAATAAAACATTTAAAAAATTATGTATATTTGGATGTGACATATAGAAATTATTTTTGAAATGTGAATGAAAAGACTCGACGGCATTTGTAGTTCGAGTATGTACCCATGTACGTACCCATTTGAATATTATTTGAAATTGAATACATTTTGGCTGGACATGTTTTCTTGGCACATCGCCAACGAGTTTTGCCACATTGACTCTCATGAGCAAAAGAAAATTTATAATTATTAAAAATTAATAAATTTTTTCCTCTTTCGGACATTAACACTTCCATTGCACCTACTTTATATTACGAAGTACGAACCACGCGTGTACTACTAGATGTCGATCGTATAGTTTGCTAATCAACTATAAACGATCACAATTTACAATGTTTCATAATCTTTGCACACTATACGCGTATGACTATTTTTATCCATTTCATTTGATGACAATTGATAATTCTACATCATAAGATATTGTATAATTTATTACCTTTTGATAAGGCATACGCAGTCGCTTCGAGTAAAGTTTCGTGTGCGCTGCAGTATTAGGAATTGTATCAATTTATATAAAAATATGTATACGCGCAACATAGACAAAACGCATTTACGCAGAATACTTTTTTTTATGATTTTAAGTAATCTTAGAGTAAACAAATAGTGCTCTGACATCCTAACCAAACCATCTGACTTCAATATTATTTTATTACAATTTAAAATGTAATAGTGGCCCAATCACTGGGTCTTCCTATTATAAATATAAAATTTTAGTGGCCCAATTACCGGGCCTACCTTTAATAAAATAATATAAAATTTTGGTGGCCCAATTACTATATACCTATGTAAAAAAAGGTGAATTGTGGCCCAATTCCCGGGCGCCCATTAAATGTAGGTACTGAATAATATAATTATAATTAAATAGGTACCTATAACTTTTACCATCTTTCTTATTTTTATGCAAAAATTATATTTAATATGTAGGTACCTACCTAGGTATATCTTAAATATAACATTTACCTATTTACGCGGAACCCTGTTATAAATGTTCAATCCTTGGCTAATATATAACTATTATAATAGTTGAACATTTTATACATTTTTAACTACAAAATAACTATTACATTTTGTCAAAATTTGAACTTTAAATGCTTATAAAAAAAATTGTGCACATGTGTTTTTAAACTGCTATTGTAACAATATATCAGGAGCGTTGCATTAAATGTTCACGCTTTTTTACCCAACAAATACAATTTTATTGATATTTATAGAAAAAAAAAGTAAACAGCCCAAAAACAGTCAAAATATTTTCAACATTTTATCGTGTATAGAAAATGCAAATATAAACGACCAGTGAAAATTTCATTTGTTTTAGAGTTAGACCAAAAACCAATATCAATTTTGTGGAAAACCGTTTTTCCGTAAAAATTCCCATTTTTCCTTAATTTTTATGCTGTTTTTCCCCTCGCTTTTGAAAGCTATTGGGAATTTTGACCTGCCCAATGCACCAACAATATTCACTTTCCCATCGAACAAGATACAGAAGTTGAAAATCTAAGCATTATTTCTATATATTCGCGTCACGTGATGCTGGCACCCGGAAATTGTTTTTGGATTTTACGGGCGACTGGGGGGTGTACAGATTTTGGAATTGGGGTTACAAATTTGTACAAATTGTATAACAATTACTGATGTGGTTTTTGGGTCGATAGGCCAAATACATAGAAATCCGGGTGCCAGCGTCACGTGATGCTGGCACCCGGAAATTGTTTTTGGATTTTACGGGCGACCGGGGAATGTACAAATTTTGGAATTGTGGTTACAAATTTGTACAAATTGTATAACAATTACTGATGTGGTTTTTGGGTCGATAGGCCAAATACAACGAAATCCGGGTGCCAGCGTCACGTGATGCTGGCACCCGGAAATTGTTTTTGGTTTTTACGGGCGACTGGGGGGTGTACAAATTTTGGAATTGGGGTTACAAATTTGTACAAATTGTATAACAATTACTGATGTGGTTTTTGGGTCGATAGGCCAAATACATAGAAATCCGGGTGCCAGCGTCACGTGATGCTGGCACCCGGAAATCGTTTTTGGATTTTACGGGCGACTGGGGGGTGTACAAATTTTGGAATTGGGGTTACAAATTTGTACAAATTGTATAACAATTACTGATGTGGTTTTTGGGTCGATAGGCCAAATACATAGAAATCCGGGTGCCAGCGTCACGTGATGCTGGCACCCGGAAATCGTTTTTGGATTTTACGGGCGACTGGGGAATGTACAAATTTTGGAATTGTGGTTACAAATTGGTACAAATTGTATAACAATTACTGATGTGGTTTTTGAGTTGAAATTCAAACTTGCGGGTGCCAGCGTCACGCACCTCCAGTAGACATCGATTCTATTTTAATACTTTTTACACGCCGTGTGTCATACACATATGGATACCATATATATACCACATGTATACCTTACCTATATATGATCTAATATCATATATTATTATACATAGATGATTTTAAAAGGTTTGCTAGGGTCAGGCACCGTGAAGTGCGTACCCGACCATTCGATAACACTTTTTTTATCCTACCACCAATAACTGACGAGCTATGACATACGTGCGATAACGATATTTTAAATTCTCTCCCTCGTCTGTCCGACGTACAATCCATATGGCGAAACTACATAATATGATGTTATCGTCATCGACATATATCATTTTTGTGCGAATGGAGTGAGTCGGTGACGGCTAAAACCTGGCAATAGGTATGTCTACGCTGAACAGTCATAATAATATATTGGAGAGGTTAAATATACTTACATTGATACCAGAGAAATAAGTCCTGTTTTATTACCATATAAGTATAATGATAAATTCTAAACAAATAATTGCATATAAAAACGGTGTACGTGAGAGGGGTGATCGAATTTTATATATTATTATTTATGTTATCGTTTATACTGAGTAAAGATGTTTGAAGATTTTCAAAATTTTTTCAATAAGTAGCAATGGTTATAATATTTGAAATTGTCTATAGCTAGTGCCCATTAGCATAATTCTACTATATTCAATTAAATTAATCTTCATATTCAGTTGAATTCGAAAAGATAGATTTAATATTATTATTTCAATCTATAAGAAATTACGCGAAAGTTAATAAAATGTGTAAACATTTGTATAGACGTTTTAATTTATAAAATATTGAATAGTGTTATAAAATGCTTCAAATAATATTAAAATTAACATTAATATATTTAGGTAATAAATATAAAATAGGTATCTATGCAATGGTATATATGTTTACATTGTGTAATTAATATTGTTAAAATGTCTTCGTAAACAATGTTTAGTCGTTAGGTGTAGTTGTATATAATTAGGGAGGGGGGGGGGGTGAAAGTTTGTACAATAATTCATTAAAAACTGCTTTCAATAGCTCCATAATTACTGTCCATGTGTAAGACAATAAGGATCACTATTACATCAATTTTAACAACTATAAGAGTATGCCTCTGTGCCTGAGTCTAGTTCCGTAACAATATCTAAATATTGAACGTTTCAACATGTCTTAAAAATACAAAGGAGTTCTGAAGAACAAAACGGTAAAGAACGGAATTGTGAAGATTGATAACAATATGGTTGGCCTTAATTTGTTTTAGTTTGTAATTTTTTGTAGTTAACCCATACATACCCATCATTATCATTAACAAGGGGGGCGTGGGGGTCAGATCCCCCATTGGATTTTTATTACCTTAGTAAAAAGTTTTGAGAGGGTGGGAGATTTTTCAATTTTCCCCTCCCATTTAGCTCTTTCGTTTTTTTTTATTTTGATCCCCACCCCCTTTTAGAAATCATGTCTACGCCAATGATTGATGAATATCATAATATAATTATCATTTATGACATAAACAGGTATATAGTAGGTATAGTATGTCTACTATTGTATCATGTTAATAAAATACCTTGCCATTGTCAAGAGAATGAAAAGTGGCCACTGGACATAATATGATAGCCACCTTTTCTTTTTCTAAAAAAAAAAATAGGGGCTCTAAAACTCGTTTACAACAACATTCTAATACATTTGCATTAGATAATTTTATGTAATACATAATATTTCAAATGCTCGCGATTTATTCTGCGAAACCATAACAACAATTAACCACCAAAACGCAAGCACCAGTGGCCGTTTTCCATTCTCCCGACAATAATATATATTATACCATATGGTATATTATTATATTATTATATTATAATAATTGTAAACACTATTCGTGTAACGTACTCGAGTACCACCAAGGACATTTACGTAACGATAAATACGATTATAAATAAACAATAATATAATGTCTCGGTACTCACGTGAGGTCGGCGTTACCCAGACAGTTTCCCGAGTACGAGCACTGGTACAGACTGCACACGTCGCTTCGCTCGTTTCCGGCGGGCCTCATCTCGTACGTGATGTTGAAACCGTACACGTCCATCAGGTCGTCGTGCACGCGTATGTGGTTGCCCTGCAACCGGTCCAGCTGAAACCGGATGACCAGGTACGGTAACGTTGATACCATGGACTGGCCGTACTGCGTGATGTGCGACTTGTTGAACACCTCGCGCACGGTGACGAAGCCAAAGTCGGGGGGATATTGCGAGTACTCGGTGATGGTCAGCCCGTCGGTGACGAACAGCTGCGTGAAGTACACTTCGATCGTGGTCTCGATGGCCGCGGCGTCCGCTTGGATCACCCACTCGCACTTGATGGGGACCGTGAACGGACCGGGGAAATTCGGCGTGGTGATCACGCCCTTGGTGCCTACCAGCGGCAGGTCCTTCGGAGTGCCGCACAAGTCTGGCGCGCCGGTGGACCCTTCGTCGCCGCTAACGCCGTCCACCTCGTTGCTTGCAGCGGTCGTCGGTGCGGCCACACAGAGCACGGCCAGCGCTACAAGGAGCAAGGCCGCGCACGAGTGCCCGGCCGCGGCTGTCTTGCGGTGTTCACCGTGGGCGATCATCACCACGCCGCATCGGCCGTAACCGGAATCACCGCCACGGCGAACCGGCTCTGTCGGCGGCCCGGCCGAAACGCTGTTTCGGTGTCGTTCGAGTCGTCCACAAAATATAACGATGGCCGCCAAAGTGGCCGCTGCCGATGTCCAGCTCGTTTTCGCCGAGAGCGACGCACACTCAATACAACCGTATCCGCTGCTGCCGCCGTTGTCGTCGCTGCAGCCGCCGTCGCGGCCATTTCCCGCTTCCTGAGAACAAACACGTTAATATTATTAAGTTGGTATTGAAATCAGTGGCGTATCGTGAAATTTAGCGACCATAAGGTATAATATTATATGAGATGGAGGCCACCCTTAAGCACAGACTTTATTAAGTTATTGAAAAACAGTGATACGATGAGAAGCTAATAAACAAAAAAAAAACCATAGCGTGATTCCTGGAAAATCATTCGATCTTGGATTAGGTATAGATTGTTTGTTCCTGGTATTATGATTAAAGAAACATGTTAGTGAGGTTTCTATTGTAATGTAATAATTTATATTATGTTGGTCGACATGGGCTACCTAGATACTGTGACGTAGTATATAGACTATAGACAACACGAATTTGGTCAGAAAAAAAGTGTTACCTATTCCTACTATTATATTATGGCGCAAGCATAAGTCCAAAAAAACTAACATAGGTATAACACAGCATAAAAATATTTCCATGTTAAAAGAAAATTATAATAATTGATTCACTATACTTAACATTTATTTTAAATAATAATAACATTAAAATGAACTTTTTAAGCCTTCATTTGATAAAAAAAAAACCAAAATAATTCATTTAATTCATTTAATTTTTTAACATAGATATGTTTTTGGGCTGGGTACCTACAACTTATTTTTTTTTTTAACTGATTTCCGAGATTCCATTTAGGTAACGCATTGTTTATTGCCATAGAAACTCAAATGAACAAAAAAATAAATAAAATAAAATAAATTACTAACAAAATGTACGTAATATCTGATTTCTCAAATTTTTTTGGAGAAAAAAATATCTATAAAAAATAGCAAAGGTACTACTTATAATAATAATACGATCGGTAAAAGTTTCGGAACTCCCCCCCCCAACTTGAACGTACTTGTGGTGCCCTGAATTAAATACGCCTATTGCAACGTTATAATGTGGCAGCAATGATATTAAACATATGGATACAGAATTCCTATACTATTATCTTTACCGAACATACTTATTTCGGTCAACATAACGAAGAGAGAAACGTTGGTTCACCTTCGCACAGAAGCTGTTGAACGATAAATAAAGTAACACAGAAGTGTGAAAATATATGCATCCGTGTTATGGTTAACAGTGGTATCAGCTAAATTGTACTAACATATTTTTATACAATGCAGCATAAGTTAAATATATCAATGAATAACAGGGGTGATATGGTAATACCTTAAAGGCCGCGGCACTCAAAAGTTATTTTTATCATAAATACGATTACGATATTATCATACGAATTATGTATATACTGTATCTACATTACATTAGATGATTAAAAAAAAAATGGTGAAAAATATTATTAATTGTTTACAAATATAATTAAGTTCCCAATTATAAACATTTTTAACTCGCTCCTACCGTATGCACATAATAAAATATGTACATTGAAAACAGCGAATCACTCCAAAGAAACTCAATATTCACGTCAATATACGCGATGAAGATTACTTTCCAAAATTAATTATTTCAAAACAAAACATAAAAACTAACAAGGTGTAAGAAGTTTGACACATTAAGGTAATATTATAGATAACAGTTAATGTTGCCAGCAATAATTCAAATGCTGTTTTACAATAATAGTCAGGGTAACAAATCCGATTATTTTGCATAATATTATCAACGAATTTAATTCGAAATTCGAAATAATTGAGATGCGAATTTGATTGTCAAGACATTTTAGTATATAAATAAAAAATTTGCTTTTGCAGATTTTAGTCGTTAATGAGCATATACATTTTAATGTTTTTATTGCTTATTCGGAAAAAATATGATAGATTCACAACACTTTTATAATCAGCTATATAATATTTGAATGTGGTATTGAAACAGTTACTTTAAAGGACTCCCAACTTTTTTTTGTGTTATATATTATACAGGGTGTCCCGTGAGGATTTACTCATTGCGATATCTCCTGAAATAATGGAGATATCGTAATTATGTTTTTTTATTAAGACTCGCAGAGGTAAGCACTACAAATATTTTATTTTTTAATTAAATTAAATTTTTTAGTAAAAAAGTTAAAAAAATTATTTTTTAATTTTTTAATTTTTAAAAAAATTGAAGATAGCCATTCTATAGAGTATATTTTTGTGAACATTTTGAGCTTTTAACATTTTATTTTCATTAACTCATGATTTTTAATAATTTTTTTAGTTTATTAGTAAAACGTCAATAAACTGGTTTTTGTCCGGGCGGCGAGTCCCCCTCTACGGCTAATGAGTAAATCCTCACGGGACACCCTGTATATGTTGGTATACTAAACACGATGACAGAGTCAGAATTTAGTTTCGAAGTTATTGCTATTTCAAGTTTTTTTGTTTTTACGATACTGCTTAAATAGAATTTTTGCAATTTCTGTAAACGATGTATCGTGATAAAATGGGAAACATGGCCGAATACTAAAGGGCTCTAAGTTTTTTTTGAACTTATTTTATTCAACACTCACTCGGACTGCTTAAATCGAAAACATCCTTCGATTTGCTATGTGAAACCACTTCGTATCAAAAAAAAAGGTACAAAAGTTTAGTGAGTTTTAATGTATTCGATCGATTGGTTTCTCATAGGCCACATTGTCCTATATTATATGGTGGCGATTGTGTATTCACATCGTATTACGCTCTACCATACGTTTGTACCTACCAGAGGAGTAGTGGGTCATATACGCGGGTATACGGCGTATAACGACTTCTCCAGTTTTTGGTTGATGCGTATACTTATAATATAATTTGTGATACGCAGCTATACGGCCATATGGGTATACTATATAGCTATAAATCTATAATATAAACAGTATTAACGAATAACCAATAATACCAAACATTTTTCCTTGTTATCACGTTCATTAGGAACGGTTATTGGAACGAAGTTCCTTATGGGGCGTTAGGTGGATGGGAGTCGCTGGAAAAAAATCGCAACACCAAAAATCGCAACACCAAAAAGCGTAACACCGAAAAGCGTAACACATTGCTCGGCTCGGCTCGGCTCGGCTCTGCTCGGCTGCCGGCTTACATATCCCCTCCCTCCTCTCATATTATCGTATGTCCCCACTAGGATCGTACCATCTGGCAACCGGGTTCCATTCGCGTAGGCTACCCAACATCGGTCGTCACGCGCGTAGAGGTGATCGTCGGGCGGAATGGGGGGGGGACCCATTAAACGAGTAATTATTTTTGACGAAGCATAACTTAGCCGGTATTCGACTTAGAGACCCTGGACCAATGGGCATCTCAATTTTTTAGGCCCCAGATGAATTTTCAACATTAGGGAACCAAAGCCCCCACCCCCCCACATTTTGAGTTGAGTGTAACTCGGCCGGAATTCAAGTTAAAGACCTCGGACCAAGGGGGAACCCATTCTTATTATGAAGACTACAGTTTTCCGCTTTAGGGAACGGGGGCACCTCCTCCCCCCCCTTTTGGATTTTGCTTTTTTGATGGATTTTGGTCCGGGAGAGTACTAAAACCCACCTCGCCAAGGGGAAACTCGGGGTTTTGAGTTTTTGATGGGATTTATTGGGATTTTCATAAATATTGTTTTTATTGATAAGGAAAGTGATAAGAATTTTATTTTCAAAATAATTTTTGCCCCTTAAATTTATAAATTCCATTGTGATTTCCATTTACCTTCTTCTCTATATACATACAAATCTATTAAACAAATAAAATTAAAATTTACTTTTGAAAAACGATAATCGAGTACAAGCTGTATCAACCGTATCATTATTAAAATTTCTTTCAGTAGAATTTGACTTAACCATCAATAGGTTTTTTTTTTTTTTTTATTGGATAACCCGCGGCAACATAGGCCATTGGGTGTTGGTAGGGAACTGTAGGTTTTTAGTTTGGGTAGGTTGGTACACGTGTGTGTTTGTGGTGGCAGAATTTTTATTGGGGCACCCGTAGGTTTCTGCCATGCCCCGGGTTGGGGGATGGCGGCACTTGTACTCCGGACACCGTGACTTGCCCGGAGAAAAATGCCGCCCAGTGGTCGAGAGGCGAACCCGCGACTGCCAGCGCCGCAGTCGACGCGTTAGACCACTCGGCCACCTCGTCCCCCATCAATAGGTTTGTTCCATAGACATATTAATATGTCTATTGTCATTTATTAATAATCCGTCGGAATCTACAACAATCTACCACTATCGATGCGGTTTTTTCGAGATATATAGAAAAAATTCAATCACAAACATACGTGACATATTTCAGCTACCACAAACCAATATTTACTGTTATTGAGAATACTGATTAATTTCATAATTGCTTTGTACTTTTATAATGATTAAAATACCATTTTTTTATAATACTCAGAAAAAATTTATTATAATTTTATTACCATGCGCGCGATATATTTATACAAGCATTCATTTCTGTCTCTGTCTCTCTCTCTCTCTATCACTATTTATTTATATTTTTCTAACCTTATATGTTTCCGCGTCTCGCATCACATGCACTGAACTTCGTTCCTGCCGAGTGTTCAACAACACTCACTGTTTTTTAGTTTTTTTTTATTTTTACATTTTACACATCTATTTTTAACCTCATTGTTTGGATCTATATTTATTATATATATATATTATATATCTAAAATTATAAGCTTATTGATAACGATCGCCGAGATGCACGCCGCACGGTCACATGCATTACTGAAAATAATTTTGTCAATAAATATTATTTCGTGTACACTGTATAGAAATTCGCTAGACTAAACCGGTGTGAAAAAAAATGCACCGGGATGTTTGGACCATATCATTTACATGGTTCATTATCCTGGTGCGGGATAATATGGGCTAATTTTAAACCGGTTTAGTCTAGCGAATTTCTATATAGTCACACAATTACATAAATATAACAATTGATCTACAAAAAATGATGTTCTCATTTATTTTTAATTACTCAAAGTTGTGATACCTAATTTATATACTATCGAGTATACTTATAAGACTATAAATATTAATAAATATTTAGGTATTTTAACTTAA